TCATTCCTCCAAATTACTGCAATGGCCGGGGCTGGGCCAGGCCAAAGCCAGGGGCCTGACACTTCATCCAGGTCTCCCACAAGGATAGCAGGGACCCAAGCACTTGGGCCAGCTTTCACTGCTTTTCCAAGTGCCCTGCATCATTGTTCTAGGATTTCCAATCATCACTTGGTTCTGACAAAAATAAGGTTTAGCTTTTGAGTGCCCTTGGGTTTCTGTATTTGGCTATAACCTGAGGTGCCCACTTTCTACCCCACCCCTGCCCCTTGGATTCTTGCAGTATTTGTAAGGTGGGAAGAAAGGCTGAGGTGACTGAAGTAGAATCCTCATCTCCTGGGAAGTCACTGCTTTCACCACCAGACTGCCACACATCCCCTCATTGCCCAGAGTCCACGTACCCACAACCTTTCCCAGGCACTGGGCCATTCAGTCTGAGCATGCCTCTGTGGAGAACAGGTAGGTTTTTTTTTTTTTTAATTTGTTTTGTTTTGTTTTTTGTTTTTTAAGACTTACTTATTTTTATTGGAAAGCCACGTTTACAGAGAAAAGGGGAGAGAGTAAGATCTTCTATCTGTTGGTTCACTCCCCAAGTGGCCACAACAGTCAGAGCTGAGTTGATCTGAAGCCAGGAGCTAAGAGCTTCTTCTGGGTCTCCCGTGTGGGTGCAGGGTCCCATGGCCTTGGGCCATCCTTGACTGCTTTCCCAGGCCACAGGCAGGGAGCTGGATGGGAAGTGGAGCAGCTGGGCCACAAACTGGCACTCATATGGGATGCTGGTATCACAGGGTGGAGGATAACCCTTCTGAGTCACAGCATTGATCCCAGGGTAAAATTTTTTAATCCCATTTGCAAAAAGAGGGAAAAAGGCTCTGGGATTTGCTAAAGTGACCGAGTGTGCACACAAGAACCAAAGGTTCTTTCTTTTCTTTTTAAGATTTATTTATTTTATTGGAAAGGCAGATATACAGAGAGAAGGAGAGACAGAGAAGGAGATCTTCCATCAGATGATTTACTCCCCAAGTAACTGCAACAGCCAGTGCTGTGCCGATCCGAAGCCCAGGAGCCAGGAGCTTCTTTCCAGGTCTCCCATGCAGGTGCAGGATCCCAAGGCTTTGGGCCGTCCTTGACTGTTTTCCCAGGCCACAAGCAGGGAGCTGGATGGGAAGTGGAGCTGCCGGGATTAGAACCGGTACCCATATGGGATCCTGGCGTGTTCAAGGCAAGGACCTTAACCATTACGTTATCACACCAGGCCCCAAAGGTTCTTTCATTCTTGTTTCAGATCCTCCTATCTGGGCTGATTATCTGCCTTTTTTTTTTTTTATGCGGATTCCCTGCGCTGAGCCTGCATGCACATGGTCTTCCCTGGAAAGTATCTGTTTCTCTAGGAAAATTGATGACTTCAGCTGCAGTGCATTTGTGTAGTGGAAATTGCCAGGCCTCTGCTGGGAGAGTCTGGAACATCCAGCAACTACCTTAGCAATGAAGAGGCCCAAGGGCTTGACTTTCCCTAATATGGCCATAGGGGCCCAGAGCAGGAAGCCACTTGCCCAAGGCCACACAGTTAATGACCTGTAAGACCAGCTCACAGATTCCCAGGCTCGGGATCTGCCCTTCCTAGCAGGCCCTGTTGGTTCCAAGCCGGGAGCTGGCAGAGGGAAGGGAGGGAGGGAGGGACAGCGGGAAGGGCCAGGAGCAATTGGTTTGTGTCATTTGGCCATGTCTGTGTCTTGTTGCTTCACCCTGCTCTCTGTCCCCCCATTTCTGTTTTCCCTGCCCTGAGCCAGCAGCCTTATCTCTCCTGGCTCTGGGACAGGGGTCTGTGAGCCAGGCGCCCCCCTCCATTCATTCACTGTAATGAGGCCAGTGGGTCTTTCCCCCACCCCTTCCTCCAGGAGGGAGACTGCTAGGGTGGGCTGGAGAGAAAGGAACTCCACGCAGGGAGGATCCAGGGTAAGAGCAGCAGAACTGGACTAATTCTGCAGACCCAGAGGACTGGGGAATAAATCACTTTAAAACTTTCTTTTAAAGGGCTTTGTTTCTGGTCCACTTCCCATTTTCCTTTGAGGAGAAGGAAGAGAAGGCCTCCTTAGGATTGGGGGAGGGATGGAGGGCACGAATGGCTGGGGGAATCTGCCCCGGGTCAAGTCTAGCCTACCCTCACCATGTGGGTGTGACAGTAAAGCTGTTTTGAGCCACTCACTACCTTCATAGGCCACACAACCCCCAAGGCCTGGGCTCTTGGCTCCCTGGGTCTGTGCAGGTCCCCGTTCTAGCACAACAGGTCTTCCTGGGGCCTCCAGCAGCATGTGTTCCCCTGGCTCACTGCTGAAGCATCACATTTTCCAGTTTCTCTCTGCCAGGCAGATGGTGTGCACTCAGGTCAGGTAAGCCGAGGTGGAGCGAGACATGGCTGACCTCTTCTTAGCTGGGCCTGCCTAGGGCTTAGAGTGGGCCTGGCACTAGGCATGTGCAGGTGTATGGCTGGGTCTGACTCAGGAGCAGCCCACTTTGGCCACATCAGAGACACAATAGTAAGAGGGTGGAGCCTTAGCAAGGACTGGGCACCGGGCAGCCAAGCCCACCCACACCCCCATTCTGCCTTCAGACCTCCTTGGCCGGTAGCAGCAGCTGAAAGCCTTAGACATGGGTCTGTTCCCAGCCCTACCAGGGCTTGCAAGCTGGCCCTGTGTGCCTGATGAGGTCTCCAGGAACCCTCTCTTCCCCTTCTCTCCTCTCTCCATCCCCCACCATTACAGCTGACCAGCATCCAGTGGCGACTGGTGGTGGCTGGGGATGTCACTGTGACCCGGTGCCAGCCAATCCTCGTTGAGTCTAGCATGGGACACCACGTGCTTTTTGTCCTGGCAGTCACAGGAGCCAGCTTCTCATGGTGGCCCCAGTGCCAACTGTACCAGGGGCCAGGCCTGTGCTGATCACATTCATGGGAGATGTCGCCAACAGTGGCTGACCCTTTACCGAGCACTGACCGTGACCTTGCGCTGTGTTGGACACCATTATATATTACTTCACTAAGCTACACAGCCATCAGAAGGGGAGCATGCGCACTTTATCCTCAACATCTGCAGTTTCACACACGGGCTCAGAGAGGCTTCATAACCTCCTCAAACAGGAGGGTCTGAATTTGAACTCAGGCAGCCTGAAAGCTCTCCACTCTGGTTGTCCATGAGTCCTGGAAGAGAAACTGGCAGGAAGCCCTGATGGCTTTGAGGTCTGTATTCTGCAAGAGATGGGCATCGCCCTATCCTTGTGTCCTTGGGCAAGCTTCTCACCTGCTGATTCAGTTTTTTTGTCTGCAGAGTGAAGACAATGGTAGCACCCGTCACAGCAAGTCAGGCATGAAAAAGAAATGAGTGCTCAGCTCAGGGCATGCACAGTACATGCCTATGACGGTGTTGGGAGCCTCCTGACCAGCATAGGGTGACAAGTAAAGGCGTGCCTCTCAGCCTCACCTTGCCATTGTCCCTGCTGCTGCTTTGGAAGTGCTGGTCAGCCCATCCGAGAAAACACTGGCCAGGGCTGGCGTGGTAGCAGAGCCAATGAAGACGCCACCTGTGATGCTAGCATCCCCTGTGAGCTCCCTGCTAATGAGCTGGGAAAGATGAAAAGCTGAGCTTGGACCCCTGTAACCTGTAATGGGAGACCTTGTTGGAGTTCTGGGCTCCTGACCCGGCCTTTTGGGTCCGTTTGGGGAGTAGACCAGCAGATGGAAGACCTCTCTGTCTCCTTTCTGTAACTCTGCCATTCAAATAAATAAATCATAAAAAAGAAAAAAAAAAGGAAGAAAAGGAAAGAAAGAAAGAAACTAGTGTCCTCAGGGTACCCAAGGGAACCATGTAACTTGGATTGTTACTGGAAGGTTCCTCTGCTGCTGAGCAGGGCCAGGAATGCACACCCACCCTGTGAGGTTTTGATAACCCTCCTATATTGTATTGTTATTTATTCAAAAGGGAGAGACACTAACTTTTAATCTGCTGATGCAGGCCAGGAGCCAGGAGCCAGGAGCCTGACCCTCAGTTCTGGCCTCCCCCATGGATGCCGGCACCCAACGTCCTGGAGCCATTGCCTGCCATGTCCCAGGGTCTGTACTAGTAGGAAGCTGGAATCAGAAGCAAAGCCAGGACTAGTACAGGAAGTGGGCATCCCAAGTAGTGACTCAGCCACAGTGCCAAACACCCACCCCTCCGTGATGTTTCAGGCAGGATCAGATGGGGAGCTCTCTGCCTCGCCGTAATGCTGCTGCACACATCTCCTAATCCTGCGCTCTGTCATGGCGCTTTGGATTCTTGTTCCTCGCTCTTAGCCCCATTTCACCCATGGAAAAACTGAGGGCCAGCTTACACTCTACTATCAGTCTGGAATGGAGACCTCATTTCTTCCTCAGACTTCAGGGTCCCTGTCCTTCAAGGTCAAGTTTGGGAGGAAGAAGTGTCTCCTGCTATGGTCTGTCTGCCTCTTGGGCAGGATGGTGGCAAGGTGGTCCTTAGGGTCCCTTGGATGTGGTATCCCCAGACTCAGGGAGCATCCTCTGCTACTCTAAACCTGGCACTGAAGGTTCAATCCAGATTGTTGAGCTTGCCAAACTGTTAGGAGAAGCCACCTGACCCAGTGGGACCAGCCACCTACGTGGCCAGAGAGAAAGGGCTGGGCCTCCTGCTCTAAAGCCAGAGTAACCCGTGGGCCCTCCTTCCAGGGAGAGGTTGTATAGGATCCTATGTGCTCTAGAGGATTCCAGTGTTTCGCCAGACACTTCATTATCCCTGTCCCAGCCTCTGTAATCACGCGGGCCCACGCCCAACAGCCAGCCCAGAGCCAGGAAATCACTCCCATCCCCTCCCCCGCCTTCCGCGTTGGCGGCCAAGCCCGCCGGGCCCTGCAACCACTGGTCTCGGACCTCCTGCCTGCCTAACGGTTCTTTCTCTCTCCTCCTCCTCTGCTTCTCCTTCCCGTTGCCGCTTGCTCTCTGGGGGACTCAGAAGTGTGGCTGTCCAGCTGGGCAGAGTCTCCCAAGAAGGACACGACAGGTACGGGCTGGCATTGCATGTGAGTGCATGTGTGTAACTGGTGTGGCCAGCACGTGAGCGCGGGTACCTGCAGGCTGCATTCCTTCTTCACGCCCCGCTATACCCTGGGCCAGCCTTCACCCTCACGGCAGGTGGGCATCCTCCACAGCTGTGTCCTTGGCCTTCCAGGGCCACCCAGACTAGCTTGTGGTGCCATCCTCCCAAGGAACTGTGTAACAGGCATGGGGGTTTTGAGTCAAGGCTGGGCAGCCTCCTGTAGGGTCTGAGATGCACACCCGACCAGTGGTGGATGCCCACGACTGTTCAGCGCTGTTCATTTGCCTGATCAGGCGAGGAAGGCCACCCAGTAATGCCCAGTCCCAACTTTCAGGCAGTTTAACTGAGACCAAGAGCAAAGGAGTCTGAGCCTGGCTCCCAGCCATTCCTGGCGCTGCACCCAAGCCTGGGTCTCAGCACCCATGCCCCAGACTGCTTTTCTCTGGCCCCCTGCCTGGCTGAGATGGCCCGCAGGGATTTGGGCCTTGATCTGCTCCCGGTAGAGCAGGGCTGGAGATTGAGAATTTGCCTTTGGCCTTTGGTTTTATTGAACAGAACAATGGCAGGCCTCCACGGCAAACAGAGTTCTTGGCTATGGAGGGACAGGGAGTGGGCTTGTTTATTTGTTTGTTTTAGATTTATTTATTTTTATTGCTAAGTCAGATATATAGGGAGGAGGAGAGACAGAGAGGAAGATGTTCCATCTGATGATTCACTCCCCAAGTAAGCGCAATGGCCGGTGCTGTGCCGATCCGAAGCCAGGAACCTCCTCCAGGTCTTCCACACTGCTGCAGGGTCCCAAGACTTTGGGCCATCCTCCACTGCTTTCCCAGGCCACAAGCAGGGAGCTGGATGGAAGCTGGCGTCCATATGGGATCCTGGCGCGTTCAAGGCAAGGGCTTTAGCTGCTAGGCCACCGCTCTGGGCCCAGGAAGTGGGGTTTTTCCAAGGGTCTTTTAGGGTGTCTCTCCATTTCTAAAAGTGCTACCCACCCCCATGCCAACCCCCCAGGTACAGAGCTGCTGGCTGGGGGAAGGTCCTGGCTCCACTTTAGGGGCTAGAGACCCAGGGAAATAGGAGGCAGCCAGGTTTGGAGAAGGCGGAGCCTGGGAGTGGGTGGGAAGCCAGGCCCCTCCACCTTGCCAGCACCCTTCTGGTGCTCTCGGTGCTGAGGGCCTGGGCCTGAGCTAATCTCTGGGCTCTGCTCCCTGCTTCCCTCTCCTTGAGCCAGTAAGCAGAGCCCACTTGGCCCGCGGTGATGCATTCTATTCACCACACGTATGGCTGAGAGGCCAGCAGGCCCCAGTGGCCTGGGAAAAGCCAGCGGGAGGGAGTAGGGGACCTTGGTGGCATGCCCAGGGCTGGGGGAGGCCACCTTTGCAGCTCGGCATCTTGGGATGAACCAGGCTGTGGCCAGCAGGGGAGCAGGGAGATCTCAGCTGGTCAGAGGTCTCAAGCAAGCTGCCCGGTTTTTCTGGACCTTGGTTTCCCCATCTAGAATGTGGGTGTATTGTGTGAGGTGAGGGGCTGGGGTGGAGCTAGATCCTTGTAGATAAGGCTCTGCCGGCTGCATGGCTTGGTCTCTGTCCGCCCCAGCATGGCCTCTGGATGCTGAGCTGGCTCTCTTTCCAGCTGGCCAGTCCACTGCCTGCCTGGAGATGGGATGTGGGAGGGGCACTGCGTGGAGCCACAGCCTCCCTTCTCCACCCTCCTTCCTCCTGGCTGCCCTGGCCCTGAGCCTGCGGGCTCTCAGGCAGCTGAGGGACAAAAGCTCTCCAGCACTTCGTTTCCTCTATTGTTCTATAAACAACACCTATAGCTTATATAGCGCTATCCTCCCCAGCAGGGAAGACCCCTGCAGATCTGTCACTACCACTGCTTGCAGATAAGGGAGCTACAGCCCAGAGAAGGCCAGTGTCCTTCTCTGGGACACAGAGCTAGCCAAAGCAAAGCTAGGTTCTAAGGCTCGGCCTCTGGTGATTAGAGTCTCAGGTTGTGATCATGGCCATGGTTGTGTCATGTGCACTAGCTCGGGGCTGTTGTCCTAGAGATAGTTGCCCGCTGGCTGGCTTGGGGTAGCGGGGAGATGCTCCTGGAGGCTCCCCCAAACTTGGGCTTGGTAGGAATGCTGTTGGTAGAGAGAAAAGGAGAAGGCATTCCTGGCAAGGGACAGTAGCTAAAGCAGAAACTTGGAAAGTTAAGAGCCTGCATGGAACAGTGCCTTTGGCCCATAGTAGGTGGATGGGCATCCTTTCTATTGGTGTGGAACCAGTGGAGGTGGGGTGTGGGCAGGTAGAAGGGCACATGGGAGCTCACACAGGCCAGAGGATCGGGCTGAGATTGGTGGAAAACAGGGAGCATTAGAGATGTGGGAGTAGGAGATGGAGTTGATAAACGTCTAGTTGAAAAGTTTGAATGGCAGCCAGGACCAGGCAGGGGCTAGGATTCTGTCCAGGTGGTAGTTAGAGAAATGCAGGTGACCCTTTTGGGTCTCAGCAGGTGCAGCGGGAGCCATGTCAGAAAGCATAAGGCTCATGCAAAGCCCTGTGTCCACTTGGGAGACACTCCACTCTCCAGAAGGGGTGTACCCCTTCCCTTGGGTTCCTGCCAGGACCAGAGCCCGTCCCACCCCCACCCTTGGGCAGATCCTTCCTGTCCCCAGTTTTTGCAGGACTGTTCTGGGAGGGGATCCCCTGAAGGAGCAGCCTCTCTGCAGGATGACGTCACCTCCCACCAGCTGCCAGGGTTTCTCCCCCAGGTGCCTGCTCCCAGCTCCTGCCCACATGGCAGCCAGCACCCTAGGAGCTCGCTAATCTGTGTGTCTGCCCGTCCGTGCTGTCTGTGAAGCCCAGAAGCCGCTTCCTCTACTTTTCTACCTATCTCTCCCAGTGGCAGTTTTCTGAGAGCTCATGCCAATTTTCCAAGGAGGCCCCTCTTGGAAATCCTGCCTCAGATTTTCTTGACTTGGCCCGTCATGAGCCAAAGTCTCACCACACCCAGGTACTGCCTTCCCTTCCCATCTCCTTGCTTGCATCTCCTGTCCCCCAGGGCAGAGCGCTTGCTCACCCTCATTTTTTACAGCTGCCTCTTCTGTCTGTGAGCCTAGGCATTCAACTGCCCCCATCTGCCAGCAATGAGGCCCTGCCAGTCTGCCCGCATCAGCTCAGTAAACTCAACAGCTCCCTGTGTGCCTATCTGCCAGTTCCCTAGAGCCGTGCAGGCAAGGCAGACTGTGGGTCTGGGCAGTGAGGGTAGAAAGAGGCAACTGGAAGTCCACACGGCAGCCTTTATTAAGCATCAATTGTGTGCTAGGACTGTGAGGATAGAGTGCACCAAAGGCCTGCTGTTCCTTGCAAGACTGAAGATCAAGATTCCAGGCAGAGTTGTCCAGGTGGATTTGGCCTCCTTCCCAGCCTTAAGGAAATTGCTTACTTTCTCCAGTCCCAGCTTGCTCACTTTGTATAAATTGGGGCTGGAGCAGGCTCTGCTGTAAGTAGCTGCTGTGAGGATGGCACAAGCCGACGCGGTCTGCTGCCTGGCATAACTCGGACCCTAATTAGAAGAAGCAGGCTCGCTGCCATCATCTGGGTAACCTAGATGCTCTGCCACCTGCTGTGTCACTCCTCTCAAGTTTTCCTCTCTAAGCTTGCCAGGTGGGGAGGAGGCAGGGAGCCCTCAGAGCTCACTCTTACAGGGCAGGCCCTGGCACCCATCCACAGGCACTTCAAGCACAGTGCCCCCAGGGCAGGTCCTGAGGTCCCCTGGGCCACTACTGTGGGAGGTAGCCTGTGAGCCCAGCACTCAGTACTGCCACTGTTTGTGGGGTTGGCTACATCTGTGTGCAGAGCAGAGCTGGCCTAGGTACCTGGCTGTTGGTCGCTCTTCTGCCTATAGTGGAGGAGCTAATGGGGCTGTGCTTGGGCATACCCTTGGGGTGCAGCCCAGCTGGGACCAGGTCCCTTCCAAGCCTCCAGAAGGTCAAGTCGGAGCTTCAGCGCCAACCCCTCAGAGGAGGAAGCCCAGGGCAGTGAGTTTATTTCCCCTCCAAGGAGAGCTGTTCAACAGGTGGTGGTTTTTCTATGACTGAGAGCCCCTGCCCTGGAGTGAAGGAACCTACATATCCGAGCGTGTCTCTCACTCGTGGCTGCAGTAAGTACTACGACAGGTGTCAGTGATTCTGAGCTACCAGGTGAGGGTAATTGTGCTGGAAGAACAGGCTGCATGGAGTAGCAATTAGATGCAGCTGTTCTCTAATGGAAAGAGAGGGGCTTAGAAGACATTGGATTTGTTCCCTTTGATTAGTCTGTGAAATGGCTTGAGAGGGAGTAGTGAGGATGAAATGGGGCAGTAAATGTTCCCAGTGCTTGAATCAGAATCAGGCGTGTAGGGGATGTGGCTGTGGGTCAAGGCCCTCAAGGAACCACATGGAAGCTTAGAGACCCTCAGCCATTCCCAACTCCTGACCAGTGGTGTGACGCCCACCCTCCCAGCCCCCCAGCCTTTGTGGTGATTGGCGTATAGGTAGCTAGCACACAAAGTGCACTAGAAAAAGGAAAAAGTGCATAAGCAGTTGGGATGGTCTGAGAGGCCTTAGGGAGGTGACTCCTCCAGGGTCTGTGGCTTGTGGAACCTGTTTAGCTCCTAGCAGGGTTTGTAATGTTTTGGGTAACTTCTCCTTCACCCTTAATGATGGCAGCAGTTGACGACCAGGGAAGCTTGTTCAGCCATGCCCAGCACCACTCAGCAAGGAAGCTGAGCTGGCCACCCTGACTAACCACCTTCCAACATGGTGCTAGCTCTGGGAGCCTGGGGCCGCCTGTCCTGTTTCTGCTGCACCCCTATTTTGGACTCCTTGGGCTCCCCTAAGCCCCTTTGAGGTGGGCGGAAGCAGCTGGGAGTCACTGGAGTTTGTGTGATTGCCGGCAGCCTCCAAGCCCACTCAAACCCTGTGGAAACAGGGCTGAGCAAGCCAGCCTGACGCCCATCCCTCAGTCATGTCCTTCCCAGGGGGCCGGGGAAGGCAGTGCCTTAGTGTGCCGCCGGCCCGAGGGGTCCAGGGAGGGGTGCAGGGGGTAGGGACAGAGCCGAACTTGAGGAACAGTCGGCAGGGGGTGGGCCGGGCTAGGACTTTCTTCTTGGATTTCAAGTAAACAGTCTGGGCCCTCCCCCCTGGGCTGCCTCCACCCCTGGCTCCCCATTCGACGGGTCTCATGTGTTTCTATTTAAGGGTTGCGAGCAAACCCCTGCGATTGGCGGCCTCAAACCCTCGGACTGCTCGCCGGGCCGGGCTGCGGGAGCTTGCTCTCCCGCTCTGCTCTCCCCTCCACCCTCCTGCCCGCCGGGTGCACAGCTGCCCTCGCTCTCCTGCCTCCCAGGGGCCTCCTCCGGGCCTTTCCTCCTCCTCCTCCTCCTCTCTACTGTGCTCTGGCCTCAGCCCTCATGAGCCGCCCACGGACTCGCTCACGGCCCAGTCCGCCTGCCCTGGCTGGCCCGGGCATCCGGAGAGCCCACGTCGTCGGCCCCAGGCTCTGCCCCATGCCGGGCTGTGACTGCTAGCACCTCCTCGCGGCAGAGGGCCCCTTCCCCAAGTCTCCTTGGCCTCTGTCTCCATCTCTGTGTCTGCTCCCCTCCCTTTTCCCCGGTCCCCTGGCTCCCCATGTCCCCCCGGTGTGGGGCCTTGCTATATGGCCTGTCCTTGGGGCCCGGTGAGCCGCAAGCCCTGGCTTCGGGCCGTCCCTCGGAGCAACACTGGCGACCGAGCAGCCTCCCCCGAGACCAATGGACAGGGGGCGCCCCGGCCGCGGGGCCATGGCCGGCCGCTGGCTCACCGCGTGCTTTCTGCCCCCGCCAGGTGCCGACAGCAACGCCGAGCCCATGATCCTGGAACAGTATGTGGTTGTGTCCAACTATAAGAAGCAGGAGAACTCAGAGCTGAGCCTCCAGGCCGGGGAGGTGGTGGACGTCATCGAGAAGAATGAGAGCGGTGAGTTGGCGGCCCGTGTAGCCGTGGCCAATTGCTTGGGGGTGGGAGGACACGCTGCCTGCCGCCTCACCAGGGCTGGTTTTTGTTCCTTGCCTCCTCCCCCTCCGCAGCTATACGTTATTTCCATCTGGCAGGAGAGGGCTGTGCAGGCTGAAGTTTTCCCCCGTTGGTCTGGGCTGCAGGCCAGCACTTTGCCTGGTGCTGGAAGAATGTCTCCCCAACACGTGGTGTAATTAACTGGCTTGTGTTAATGTGAGGCTGGGGCAGCAGTGTCCAGCCCCAGCTCAAGGGTGCCCAACCTATCCTGGTGGGGCCAGATTCCAAGCCAGGTTCCAGGCAGAGTCAGAAGACCTGGCCAACTGGTGGTAGGGAAGGTGGGCCCTGACATTACCATGGGGCCCCAGGGGTCCCAGTTTCCCTGGCAGGTTGCCCAAGCAGGGGCTGGGCCTGTGGGAGCTGGAAGGGTCTGGGCAGTGAGCTGACTGCCCCTGCTGAGCTAGAGGCCCTCTGGGGCCTGGTAGGAGACCTAGCCTGGGAGAGGTGAGGCCAGATCCCGTGCCAGCAGGGTTCCTGTCACAGGAGCTGTGCCCATGCTGCCCAGAGCTTTGGTGAGGATGAGGGTCTAACAGTGCAGACCCAAGTCACCTGCTGTCCTTGGCAGCAGGTGTTCATGGGAAGGGGGCTGGGTTACAGCCCTTAGGTGCAGCTCGTAAAGGCTAGGAATAGGACGTGGCTAGATAATGTGCTTACACCTGGAGTCTCGGGTGAGGTGTTTGGTTTTGGTTTTGGTTTCAGTTTGCTGCAGGGAAGTCTCTGTGCCAGGAACTTTCTTGGTCTGTCTGGTGGACAGAGGGGAGGGGTCTGTTTGCCTGGCTTTGCTCCACCCCCCATTGTGTTTCCTTCTGGTATTTGAAGGACTCCTGTGCCCATTTTGTAGATAGGAAAACGGAGAGCCAGAAAGATGGAAACAGCTTGCCTGGTCAAAAGCAGAGCTGGGACACTGCTGGGATCCTGGCTGCCATCCGCCCACCCCCAGCTCCTCATTCCTATGCCTAAGTGGTGAACAACAGGGTTCTCTTTATGGCGGAAAGAGAACTAAACAGTAACTTGGAAGGTGGGAGAATTTGGTACATGGGTTATGATGCCCCATGAGATACCATGTTCGATACCCAATGCCCATATTTGCATCCAGCTTCCTGCTAAGGTGCAGCCTGGGAGGCATTGGTGATGGGCCAGGGTTCGGAGCCCTGCCAGCCACGTGTGCACCTCTAAGTCGACATCTGGGCTTCTGGCTTCAGCTGTTACAGGCATTTGGAGAATGAACCCATAGATACATCTCTCTGTGCTTCGGTTTCTCTTTGCATTTCAGATAAAGGAGTTAATTTGGGGAACAAATAAATTGAAACTGTGTGCATAGTTGCTTGTAATTACGCATTTTCCATGAGCTTTTTGAAGATGCCTTATAGCTGTAGGGATGCTCACAAGATTTCAGGGGCCTCCCAAGGGAAGCAGGGGCTCTGGGACATGCTCTCTGGAGCACGACTATGCTGTGTGACCCCAGGCCTCACCCACGGCCCTCTTGGCTCCTGTCCCTTTGCAGAGAGATCAGCACCTTGTGCTAGTGGTCGTCAGCAAAGTGGTGGGCAGCACAACCAGGTCCCGCTGTCCCAAGGGCACACATACATTTGGCTATCGTGACACACAATAGACTTCAAGTTCAAGGTTCCATGCTCCCCAGGGGCTCATGTGCCCTTCCCACTTCACGTTCATGACCGTGGAACACTCAGTCCTATTCAGGAGCAAGCCCGTGTTGGGTATGGAGACGCCAGCTGTCCCAGGAGGTCTGGGAGGGTGGGTGGCTGGCTGGCTGGCTGGCTGGCTAAGTAAAACCCCTCATATTCTATAGCCCCTCATATCCTGTAGCCCCTATCTGGTCCACAGACCCTGCAAGGGAGCTGCTGTTCCTAGAAGTAGGATTCAACCTGCCCACCTGCTGGCTAGGTGGCTTCAGGTTCCTTGCCTTCTCTGAGCCTCAGTTAGCCCCTCTATAAGTGTCTGTGGGAGGAAGGCAGGGGAGTTGCTTAGAAGCAGGGCCTAGAGCAGATGCCTGCTACCCCTGGCAATTGTGTACACCTCGGCATGGCCAGGTGACTCACTGGGCCTTGGGTATTGGCTGGGGAGACACTCACTGAACACGCCTTTTCCACCTTTCCACTAGCTTGCTGCCTTTGTCCCAGGCACAGATGGCAGGCAGCTCAGCTGCCCAGTTGCTCTTGGGGACTGGAATGCTATGTCCCCTGTTGCCTTGTCTGTTGCCATCAGTCACCAACCGGCCTGGCATGTGCTCTGGCTGAAGCAGAGGGGAGAAAGACAAGGGTGCCCAAGCCGTGCATCTCCAGGAAGGTGGTGCCCCTGCTAGAGGAAGCTGGATGCCCGGCATGGGGGGAGGGGAGGCGGGGAGGGGCATGCAGCCTGCATGCTGGCTTTGGAGGGAGTGGTGAGTGAGGCTTTTGAACTCTGAAACAAAGGCCCAATTGTGATGCCTTTGACCTGGGATGGTATGGTGGTGGGCGTGTTGGCATTTCCACTGGCTGTGTGGGGCCACAGCCCCAGGCAGGGCTATCCCCTGTCTTTGGGGCCTGATCTCGCCCACTGGGTGCCCTCTCACTTGGCTGGGCGTAGCTCAAGTAAGGTGTGTGTGTGTGGAAGGCTACAGCCACCTGGCTTTGCCTGTTCGTGAGAGCCCTCTGGCTGCGCTTACTGCCACAGGTGGTACATGGGCATTTGTGGGCACTAGGCTCTGAGTGAGGAAGGCAACAACTGCCAGGCTGTGTGCCCATCTGTGAAAGCAGTAGGATGGAGGACAGCTCCACCCAATGGAAGGTATTTTGTCCCTTTTGTGGCTGAACTACCTGTCTGAGCAACTCAGAATCTGAAGGTCCTCCCTTACCAACTCACAGTTGGATGACCATGGATGTCCCTGTGTCGCTGTGCTCAAGTATGGCAGGAATTCCCATGGGTAGCAGTCAAGAGTTGGGGCTGGGGTCTGTGACTTCTGAGCATGGAGGATGAGCCCCTGAGGGGCAGCCAAGGAGCAGGAGTCAAGACACCCAGAACCAGTCCCGTGTGGCTTCAAGGAAGGCATTATTGGTTGGGTAGCAGCCTTGGGGCCCAACTCTGGAAAAGCTTGCCTGGTTGCACCACAGGATCACCTGTGAGATGGGTATAGGCAGTAGCCCTCTAGTTCTGTCTGTGGGAACCCCCTGCCCTTGACATAGGCAATGGTGCCTGAGATGCCGCCCCATTGTCATACCTCTGAGGCCACATCCACTGCACCCTTCCATGGACCCCATTCGGTCCCCGTTCTGGGGTAAGCAGCGATGCCGGGGTTCTGTCATTTTGGTTTCTCCTCCAGCCTTCCAGAGTGGGTCCCTCCTCCACAGGACTGCAGGCCAGGGAAGGAAGCAGGGAGATGAGTCAGCAGAGTTTTCCCTGCCTCAGCTTTCTCTCCGCGTCTCTGCTTCCTGGCACTGGCGTAGTGCACTGGGAATTCTCGGGCCTCCTTGGAAGCCAGAGCTGCCGAGCTCCTGTGGCTTGTCCCTTTGCCTGGCCAGTGAGAACAGGGAGCCTTGGAGGGAGTTTGCGAATCTTCGTGCCCCTCCAGTGTCAACACTTTATTCCTAACGGGGTTGCCAACAGAGGACTAAAACTCATTCAGACATGCCCAAGAGGTCAGTGGAAGGATACAGGAAAATCTCAGCAAATCTGAGAGGGAGTGAAGTAAATGGCAGCTGCGGGAGCTTGAGGCTGAGACTGGGAGCCTGGTTCTTGGCAGGGGCATGGGCAAGCTAGGGTGGTGGTATAGACTGCCTGTTGTCCTGTGTGGATACCAGATGGATCTGTGTCTTTCACTTAGTGCTTACCAAGGAACCTGCTTAGTGTGGTACCCCGCCCCCCCCCACGCCCCCGACATACACACACACACACACCCTGCATAGCTAACTCAGACTTTAGGCTACCCTGCTGCTAGAAACCATGTCCCAGCACAGACAGGACAGGCTGTCAGCAGGAAGGCATGTTGCTTGCAATCTGCACTAGAGATAAGTGGATGCCTAAAAGGTTTTTTGGTTTTTGTTTTTGTTGTTTTTTTTTTTAATTGGAAAGTCAGATGTACTATAGAGAGAAGGAGAGACAGAGAGAAAGATCTTCTGTCCGCTGGTTTCAATTCCCAAGTGACCGCAATGGCCAGAGCTGAGCTGATCTGAAGCCAGGAGCCAGGAGCTGCTTCTGGGTCTCCCACACAGGTGTAGGGTCCCAAGGCACTGGGACATCCTCTACTGCTTTCCCAGGCCACAACCAGGGAGTTGGATGGGAAGTGGAGCAGTTGGGACACAAACCGGCACCCACATAGGATCCTAGCATATGCAAGGTGAGCCATTGCACCGGGCCCGGGTAATGGATTCTTACTCTGCTCTCCACAGCAGTCTTTTAAGAGCTTGAGTCCCAAAAAATGCTCTACATTCCCCCCCCCCCCGCCCCCACAGAGATGGAGTCAATGCTACCAAAGTCTTGCCCCGACCATCCGGGAACCTTGTTCTCTGCTAACTCTCTCAGTGCAGGCCATTGTGTTTTCCTGCTGACTGGTTTGCCCAACTCCAAGGTTCCTCCTGGTCCCAGACTATGTCTGGTCTGCCACTGTTGTCCATGTTGCAGAGCTGGGCTGAAGGATCCAGACCCAGCGCGGCTCACACCCAGGGAAGAGGTGCTGTTGAAGGCAAGCACTGTTGAAAGCAAGCACAGAATGATCTGGCAGAGAGGGCGCCGCAGGCTGCTTTTCATCTTAATTCGCTTGCTCAGTAAGAGAGGAGGACCCTGGGCCAGTTTCTTGGGTCCTCTGGGCATCAGTGTTCGGGCCTGTGAAATGGAGCTCACATTGCTCACAGCTCAGGTGCTGGTGGATGTTGGTTCCTCAGCATCCGGTTCTTAGTGCAGGACTTGGA